AAGCAGCAGATACAAATTCCATCATTCCCTCTCACTCTGAATCTCTGCCTTAGAAATAAACAAAAATAGTACTCAAGTGCTACATATATTTTCTTTTTAAGGATTATTTTGTTGTTGTTTTTGTTGTTGAAAAAAATAGATTTAGATAGAAAGGTGGATACAGAGAGAAAATCATTCATTTGCTACTTAAACTTCAACCGGTCAATAAGGCCAGAGGTAAGCTGATCTAAAGCCAAGAACCAGGAGTTTCTCCCAGGTCTCCCATGTGGGTGCAGGTCGAAGACTTTGGCCCATCCTTGACTGCTCTCCCAGGCCACAAGCAGGGAGGTGAAAGGTATTTGGTCAGGATAAGAGCAAAACTGATGAACGTATGAGATCCTGGAAAATGCAGGGCAAGGATTTAAATACTAGGTTATTACACCAGCCCTGCAGTGCCTTATTAAATATAATTCATACATAAATTTCAAGAGAAAATAAAAATCTACTTGCATGCCATAATACAGGTCCCTGCTAGAACTCTGCATTGAGAATGGCTTTACAATTCAAAATTGTCTTGCTTTGAAACTACTAATACTTAACTGGACATCATCTCACATCTCTCATGGGGTTTGGAAAGCCTATGCTAATCAACCTCAGTAGTATTCTACAGCATGCTGTGCACATTTACAGGAAATTGAATAAAGACTGAAACAGCCTCACTTCTCTCAGGGTGACACCGTGCTGATGACACTGTGCTGACAACACCTTGATTCCAGGGTCCTCCGAATCCCTACATGTGCACAGACATCACATGCTCTAGATGTCCCAGTAGATTATCTGTGATGGATTGGCAGTGCACAGCTTACATTTCAGGCTCAACAGAAGGCTTCCATCTCACAAACATGATCCAAAGCTTCCTAATACCCCCAGATGCCTAACAGGACAAAAGGCATGGAAGCAAGTGTAGGACCCACAGGGGCTGAGGGGCTGTGGCCTAGAGCCTCTTGGCCTCGGGCTGAGGATGAATGCAGACTGAGACACTGCTGCCTCCCATCAACTTCTCTCCTTCTTCTAGACACACAGGCTAAGAATAGTATCCACAAAACTTTTCAACCAAACACCTTCTGCTGCTTCTCCTACACATCACAAATCATCCAGTGCAACAACATGGAAGATTATTTTGAAACCAGCAGTGAGTGCTCCCTGCCAGCTGTCATGTAAGTGCCAAATTCACCTGCCATCGGCAGGTGGCTGCGGGGTGTGGGGAGCCTGCAGCATCTCAGAGAGCACCTGATGGGTGGCTGAGGCGTCCACACAAGTCCCACCCTCAACATGCTGCCAGGTGAGGGGCACCTGCTCTCCTTCCCAGGAATAACCAGAACATCCTGGAACAGATGACCCCAACAGAGAGCAGGGGCCAAGGGAGCGGGGCTATGGGCAGAAGGGGCAGGCAGAAGATGGTCCATGGGGCCTTGATGGGTCACCAGGGAGTCTCAGGCTGAGATGGGAGGGTCTCAGAAAGGGGAAAAGTGCAGGCTTGGCTAGGTAGGGACTCTGAGGGGCAGGAAGGACGGGGCTTCCCCTCCACATTTGCTGCATACAACCCAGGCTCCAATCTTCTCCTTTTCCTCAGCTTCCACACTAAAAACAGAGAGTGGCTCTGCACCAACTCCACAGACAGTCAAGTTCAAGACTGTGTGATAAAACTGAAGAAACAGGCCAACAATGTGCTATCTCAAGACAAACTGTCAACATTAAGGCTGCCACTCAGAGTTCCCACACTTCAAGATCCGGATCTTAAAGTACATCCAGGTAAACTGCCACCTGCACGCTGGAACACACATGTCTATCACTCCAATATTTAACAGATAACATGCCTGGGAAGCAGCAGAGGACAGTCCTTGGGCCATGCATCCTCAAAGAGGACCCAAAATAAGTCCCAAAAGCCTCTAGCACTACCTTCACCCTGGTCCAGCTCCAAGGGCTGTAATCAATGGCAAGTGAACCAACAGATGCAAGAGTTCTCTTCTATTCTCTCCCTCTCTCTATCACATTGCCTTTCAACAAAATGCAACTTAAAAAAAAAAAACCCAATACCCAAGCTCCCAAAACAGAGACATTTCCTTGAGAAGATGGGTGTTCACAACAGCCCTGGTGCAATGCTCTTACCCCAAACCTCCTATGAGTTTCATGCTTTGAAATGTTTTTGTTGTAGTCTCATGTTTTGCTAGGGCCATCCTGCTGGCTTAGCAAGCTAATCCTTTGCCCCTAGCAATGGATTCATCTGGGCAATGGGTTGTATATTGGATGCTCCATTTAAAATTCAGATGTCTGCTAATGGTCTGGAAAGGAAACAGAGCATGGCCCAAGTCCTTGGTCTTCCATATCCACATGGAAGTTGTGGGAAGAGGCTCCTGGCTTCAGATCAGCTCAACTCTGGCCACTACAATCATTTGGGGAACGAACCAACAGATGGAATATATCTCTCTGTCTGACTCTATCTCTGTCTCTGTAAATTTCTTCTCAGAAATGTGTATTCCATGTTTCCCCTGTTCTGCTGAAGCAGTTAAGATTGAAACCTCATCTGCTATTTAAGAAAACAGTTTCTTCTCCTGTCTCATTTGCTCAAGTCACACCATGCTTTAGTTCACCAGCATGATATGATGCATATTCTAGCTTTTTTATAACGTGTCCTGTTCGAATCTCCTTCTATTTACCAAACAAGAAAACCAATGCTTACTTCCTATCCTCTTGTGTTTGCACTTGCAGGCTCATGCCAGATGTCTCTTAGCAACTCCATCTTAGACACACTCTTGAAGGACATGCTTTAGAGGAAGATTTTCAGAACAGCCAGCAGCAGTCACATTAGGGTTTCTTCCCATCACATGTCTGGTTCACTGAAGGAGCTCCCTTGTCTTTGGACTCATTCTTCACATTACTGCATACCCTGAACTGCTTTCTACTGCAGTGCATGACTGAGACACTTACTTCCCTGAACCTGGAGCAAGGGCAGACACATCAAACCCAGGCTTAGCTAATCTGATTCCTCCTTTCAGATTTTGAGCCTAGGGCATTTGTTGAATAAAAGTAAAATTAACATCCTGAAACTTAGCCTAGTGGCTAAATCCATAACCTTGCACACACAGGGATTCCATATTTGTGTTGCGTCATGTCCCTGAGACCCGCTTCCTTCCATCTCCATGCTTGCAGAGGGGAAGACAGAATAGCACACTGGTGAGCATGGTTGTGATGAAGTGGTGGTGCTTGATTCCTGTGACCAGGGTTCCCTGTCAGCACTGCTAGTTGCAGTGACCAGCAGAAATGGCAGAATAAAACCAGGTAGCTCTGTTAGCAGGATATTGATTGTGATACTACTCAAAATCTTTGTAAGAAATTTTTAGTTTTTTGCTTGTTGGGTTTTTTGTTTTGTTTTGCTTTGTTTTGTCTACTAAAATTCATCCAAGTCAGTTTCTAGTGCTTTCCAATAAGAACAACAGTCAATAAAAATAATGAGCTTCTGGGAATCCAATGAATTAAAAGTTTTTTCTTCAACCATGAAAAGCAAAACCTCAGTTGAAACTGAATGCCCACATTCACATCCTTTGCTCATCACTTCATAGAGCATTCTCTCTACTCTGCCCACATTTCATACAATGCTGTATTGTAGAAGCTGTTCATTTCTTATCTTCCTTGAGTAAAGAAGCAAACATTCCTGCAACAGACCTTCTGGCAGTTGTGAGAATTTTGCTGGTGGCCTTTGAATTCAGATGTTCTGTCAAAGCATGGCTATGGTGTCTTTTTCATTACCCTGCTGGCTCTCAATCTGTCATTTTGTAGAAGGGAGAGAATGTGCCCATGTGCTGGTTCACACCACTCATGTCAGCAGCTACTGGAGCTGCCTGGGTCTAGACTCAGGACCAGCAACTCAATCCATGTCTCACAAATGAGTGGCAAGGACCTAATATTTTGGTCCTCACCTGCTACCTCCCAGAGTCCACCAAAACAGAAAGCTGGAATCAGAAAGTAAACCTGAGACTCAAACATTGACACTCCAACATGGGACACAGGCATCTGAACCAGTGGGTCCAATGCCCAGCCCTCACAAGGAGGGTGAAGCCCTCCTTGGAGCAATGTAAACATGCATTCCAGGCCATTCATGTGCAGGTGGGCCTAGACCCTTGCTGAGCCATGTTACTGTAGGAACTGCTGGTTTACCAACAGGCAGGCCAGCTGGGAAGCTCTGATAGAGAAACAGTGTCTTTCTGTATTTCTGTCTTTCAGAGATGTTCTTTTCCCCTTAGGACTTTCGAAATACTTTGTCAGAAGGATACAACGTCCAATGCAATTTTCTAAGCTACCAGGTAAGACCAGACAAGATGTTACCACCTAATAGATTGCCTGTGTTGGCCACCTGGCTCTGTCTCCTGAATGAGCACCTGCCACTGCAGGCTCTGGGAGGCAGCAGGTGACAGCTCCAGTAGTTGAGTCCTTCCACCCAAGTGAGAGATCTGGACTCAGTTCCTCATTTCGTTTTGGCCCAGCATATCACGCCCCATCCCACAGCTCTCCCATGCCTTCTCTCCAGATGACTGAAGCACTCCCCCGAACCTCTGCAGCCAGGTGAGGCATATCATGCCCAGGCTGGGCCTTCTGATTCCTCTTTGCAGACTTTTGAGCCTGGTGCATTTGTTGGAAAAATGCAGAACTTGAGAGGACTCCACCCAAATGCTCTAGTTTTGGGTGAATAGTTCAGGAACTGCCGGTTACCAACAGGTCAGGCCAGCTGGGAAACCGTGGTAGAGCATGTATTTCTGTGCATTTCAATCTTTCATTGATTGATGCTGTTCTTGTCCCCTTAGCACATCGAGACATGTTTCTCAACACTAGACAAGATCACTTGTGGAAAACGGGTGCCCAACTAGGTAAGAACCAGTCAAGATGTCACCTCATATCAGAGTGCCTGTGTTGCACACCTGGCTCTGACCCATGAAAGAGCACCTGCCACTGCAGGTTGAGTCCCCAGTTTTTGGCACTGGCACAGCATAGCACTTCCTCCTCCAGATCTCTCCCCTGCTTACTCCATCTCTATAGTTCAGCATTTAAAGTAAAACCAATAAGTAAATCATTTCTAATAATGAAAATGACATTTTCAACAAAAAAGTAGCTATAAGAAATATGGCATTTCTAGTAATTAGAGTGAAATTATCATTTAATGCAAAAATGTGACTGACTAACTGGAAAGGGTATCCACCTAAATCAACTAAACATCCACAAGTGGTTTTCCAATGATTGATTTATTTGTTTACATGAAATGCAGAGTGACAGTGACATCTTCTGATCACTGGTTCACTCCTCAGATTGTTGCCCCAGTCTGGGTCACACATGGCCTAAGCAAGTTCTCCCATGTGGTGGCAGGGTCTCTAGCACCTGGGCCCTCTTCTGCTGCCTTCCCACCAGCATTAGCAGAGAGCCCAATCAGAAGCACAGCAGCTGGACTCAACCTGGTGCTGCATGGGGGTGGCTCACACCACAGGCAGAGGATAAACCCACTGCACCATGATGTGCACTCAATCATTCTGTTTTTTATCTAAAATTGTGAGCCTTATATTGGTTCATGTGCCTTACAGATGATTTCTTCCTAGAAGCATGCAGGATGTGTTTTAGATGCCATTTATTAAAAGACATCTGTAATGTTATATAGGTCTGTATAGTATTATCAATTTCATTTTACAAATGAAAAAGCTAATCAGAGATAGCTTGTTTAACATCTCACAGTTAGTACATGGCAGAAGTAGAATGTGAGCCAGGCAGAAAGTCATTGAAGGGGAGAGTGCACAGGAAGTCCTGATATTTCCATTTCAGATCCAGCTCTTTGTTAAGGCTCCTAGAAGGGCACAGAGGGAAGGCCCAAGCACATAAGTCCAGCTGCTCATATGGGACACCAAGAGTAAATTTGCTTGGTCCTGGTTTCAAACTGACCCAGCACTGGCTACTGTAATCATAAGTGGACCTGAAAGAGTAGATGCAAGTTGTCTTTCTCTCTCCTTCCTTCTCTCAGGCACACCCATTCTCTCTTTTTCTCATTCTCTTTCTCTCTCTTTCTCTCCCTCTATCTTGCTTTGCTTTTAAAGTAAAGTTAACAAATAAAACATTTTAAGAAATCAATATGGTGTTTTAAAACTAGGCCAAGATTATGAAAACAGAAGTCATTTCTGATTTCTTTGTACAAACATTCTTGGATTAAATTGATCACACTCCTATCAAAACATAGACAGGAGCCTCATCATGTGAAATTCACATGTAATTATGTAAGATGTTACACATTACAAATGAGCCAGAAATATGAGAACTCAAAGGAGAGAATACATTGGCACATGAACTCTAAATGCCACAATCCGATTTATGTTTCAATATGAAATTTATCCATTTCAAGCTTGCTCTATATAGGAATGTAGTCAATTTTGAAAAGAGCTTACTCTGAAAGAAGATTGCAAAGCAAGAAAGCTGAAGGAAAGCAGGAAGGTAGGAAGACAAGCTAAATGTTTAGTGTACTTAAGTAATTAACAATATTAATTGTTGTTAATATGAATATTTGGTCTGCTGTATCTTACCCAAAACATTGAATGAATTTTCAGTCCTGATGAACACTGAGATGCAGAAGTATTTAGCTTTCAAAAGTTAGCATGATATAATCCCACAATCCCACGTCTCACTTATCATTAAGAACATTGAAACTGGATCACTGTGGGCTCTTGGTGGATGTTCAGATGCCACTTGGGACACGTCCATCACTGACCGAGTGTCTCAGATCAAGTCCTGGCTCCACTTACAGTTATACCACCCCTGCTAGTGCACACCATGAGAGGCAGCAGGTGAGGGTCAGGAACCTGGGTGCTTACCCATGTGGAGAGCTGGATTTAGTTCAAGGTTCCTCCCTTCAGCCTAGCTCCATTCCACCTGTTGTAGGCATCTGGGGAAGAAACCAGCACACAGGTAATCACTCTCTGACTCTGACTCTGTAACACTCTGTGCCTTTCAAATAAAAAGAAGCAATACATTATGAAACAAATTGTTTCAAAACAAAAATAAAACTGAAAGCACAAATGTGTGAAGATTTTGCTATGCATCCATGTTCACAGTAGCATGACTTGTGAAAGACTAAAGCAACTCAAATGTCCCAATGGATGCACAGACAAGCAACATGTGAGGCACACATGCAGTGGGCTCACACTCAGCCTAAGAGCAAGGACAGCCAGTACAAGACACAAGACAGATGAACACTGAGCACATCACACTAAGTGAGAGAAGCCACTCACAGATGAACACAACTGAATGATCCCACTCACCTGAGTGACACAGAGTAGCCAGTTCAGAGACAGAGGTAACAAGGTGCTGAGGCCAGCTGGGAGAGAACAGGCAGTTAACATTTAATACAGGTAGAGTTTCAAACTTGTAAGGCAAAAAAACAATTTGTGAATGCACAGTAGTAGTAGTTGTACAGACATTTGAAGGTATTGAATGCTCCTGAGTACACTGTGTTGACAAAAAAATCTTGCTTCCAGAGACCTGTAGATTCCAGATATCTATATTAACACCTGTGCACAGCATCACATGCTCTAGACGACCCAATAGCATATCCATGTAAGAGTCGCAGTCTGTGTCTAACATTTCAGAGACAGCAGAAGACTTTCATCTTGCAAACAGGCTCCTCCAAAGGTCCCTGAAAACTCTCAGGCCTCTTGTGGGACAAAAGGGCATGGAGGCAGGTACAGGACCAAGATATGATTTAGGGTTCTGGTCCACAGCCCCTTTGCTCAGAGGGGGTGAGAACAGCCTGAGATATGGCTGCCTCCCAGCAAGTTCTTTTCTCACCATGACTCTTATTTCCAAATGCAGAATTTAATGAGGGCGAACAATTATTACCATCTTTTCCCCCTGACTGCTGTTTCTCCCACACCCCACGACGCATCCAGTGCAGCAACATGAAAGATTATTTTGAAACCAGCAGTGAGTGCACCCTGTCTGCTGTCATGTAAGTGTTAAGTTCACTCACCCCATGCTGAGAGGAACTAGCCTGCAGAGTCTCTGTAGAGCACCTAATTGGTGGCTATCCTGATGATTCCTTCAACACCTTACTAGGTGAGGGTTACCTGCTGTCCTAACAAAATACCATGGCCATCTAGGAAGAGACACTCCCAACAGAGAGCAGGGGCCAGGAGGAGGGAGGTGCTGCACAGCAGGCAGAAAGCTGCCCATTGAACTTTCACAAATCTCAAGGCACTTATCAAAGAGTCAGAGAGGGAAAGAAGAGCAGGATGTGCTGAGTGGGGACTCTGGAATGCCAAGAGAATGGGGCTCCCGCTGCATTTGTGCACACAACCGTTTCTCATATCCTTTCCTCAGATTTCGCACGAAAGAGGGACAGTGGGTCTGCACCAATCCTTCAAATAGTGAAGTTCAAGATTGTGTGATGAAACTGAAGAACCAGGGGAACACTGTGGTATCTGGATAAACCGGCAACTGCAAGGCTGGAACACAGATGTGCATCACTTCAATACCAACTGCTAACATGGCTGAGAAACCAACAGAGGATGCTCACCATTCCTGGACCCTTACATCCCCATGGAGAACCCAGAATAAGCCCCATAAGCCCCTGGAACCCAGCTTTACCCTGGTCCAGCAGCACCAAAGCCTGCAGCCATTTGGGCAGTGAATCGGAAGATTTCTCTCTCTATCCCTATCTCCTGTAACTCTGCCTTTCAAATAAATAAATAAATATTTTTAAACAAACAACTGAGGCACAATCCACTATCCAAAGACATAGGGACCGAGACATTTAATTGAGAAGATGGGAGTTCCTAACACACTCTTGCCCCACACATCCTATGAATTTTATACCTTGAATTAATATATTTTAAATATTGCTGGGCACAGGTTGGTGGTTTAGCAAGTTATTTCTCCATTCCTGGCAATGGGATCCCATATGGGCACTGGTTTCTATCCTGAGTGCTCCATTTACAATCCAGCTGCCTAATAATGGCCTGGGTGGCAGCAGAGCATCTGCCAAGCCCTTGGACTTGTGCATCTAGACTGGAGACCTGGAAAAGCCTCCTGGCCTCAGACATGTTGGTCAGCTCAGGCCAATGCAGCTATCTTGGGAGTAAACCAGCAGATAGAACTTATCTCTGTATCTGACTCTCCTTCTGTCTCTGCCAATTTGTTTGTGAAGTAAAAATAACTTTTCAAATGTACTGCTGTTTTAGTTATGACATTAAGGCATGTAATGAAGAATTTTCAGTTTCACTCTGCTTAGGTGTTAAAAGGAATAAACTGAAAACACTGAAGAGACAGTTGAACTTTAAAGAGCTTAGATACAAATCCATCTGTTCTACTGAAGCAGTTAAGATTGAAGCCTCAATTATCATTTCAGAAAAGAGTTCTTTTTCCTATTTCATTAGCTTGTGTCACACCAGGTTTTAGTTCACCTACTACGGGAACCATCCAGATATCGTGCAGTCTTGCTTTCTCATAATTTTGTCCTTTTAGATTCTGCTTCTATTTACTAAACAAGAAAACCGAAGTTCACTTCCTATCCTCCTGCTTTTGCACTTGCAGATTCATGCCAGTTATCTCACGGCAACCCCATCTTAGGCACACTGTGGGTCAGCCTGCCCCACACAGCCTGTACCCTACTCCAGGGCCCATGAGTATTTTAGGGTACCATGGTCATTCCTAGCCTAGCCTGTCACCACCCCCAACTCCAAACAAATCAGCTAAAATGCAGACCACAGGGGAGGCCCACACATCCCCCACAGAATCTGCCACCAGACCCAGTTCTCTTGTGTGCTGGTTAGTGCCATGGCCCAGCCTAACATTACCCATTCCGTTTTGACTCTCTTTGGTGAGTACTGTGATCTAGCCCTGGCAGGAAAGCCACCAGCCCTTGCTTTAATGTGCACCTGTGAGTGGTATTTAGCGTTAATCAATACTAACTACCCCAGCTCTGTTATTCCATAAGGGCTGATGCTTCAATCTGAACTTTAAAAGTCCTTGTATTACCCCCTCAGGATCCTACCATCCGGTGGTTCTGTGATCCATGCAGTAGGTGTGGATGATACTGAGGTATAAAGAGGACAAATCTCATGTTGGTAAGGCCATGAAGAGCTTCCAGCATATGGCAAGGCCTAGTGGATGTCTCTCCAACCACCTTAATGCAGTTTCACTCCCTTTGCATGAACAATCCACCACCCCATTAAAGAATTCTGTAATCTACTGAGGCATTGTTGTTTGCCCTTGTGAGATGGTTTTTGCAACTGATGTGAGTTTGGGAGTTAATGCTACTGATAATGTCTTGGTGAATGGGCCTTTAACAGTTTATGAAAATTAATGCACACAGGACTACAATTAAGCCCATGTCATTTCTGGACACCTTATTTTGTGCCTAACTATTGCCCAGGAATCTGGCCCAGACATGTAGCATGTCTTCTGGGAAAGGGTTTCATAAGTATCCTAAAAATTAGTGAAAGTTACGGGAGTGTGAGCTGAAACTACTATGGCAATAAATATAATCACTGTGACTGTGACCTCAAAGGCTAACCTGTCATTGCAATTTCTTTGGAGTGCAGAAAATATGTTTTAGCCACTTTCATAATTTTTGGCTAGAGGAATTAAAGGATGCTTTTATTAATAATATAGAAATATGCTTTTAATTATTGTTTGGTTTTTATGGGGTTGTAGAGCCTATAGCTGTGGAGAGATTTAATATTTGAAACTTTTGTCTTGGTTCTTTATGTCTTTTCCCTTGTGACCTGTTTTTTCATTAAGTGATAGATAAGTTGTAGAAATAGAAATGTAGTAGGAACGTATTACTGATTAGCAGGTAATTACCTGTGCCCTGGCCTTGGAGTCCTGGCTGTCACCCAATGGCTATTCCTGAAGAATGAATTAATATTATGTTAATATGCAGGATTTCCATACTTTACACAAACCTTATGATGCATTTTGATTCCAGATGAATGTTAAAATGCAGAATTTTTTAGGTTTCAAAAAGTTAATATGATATAATCCAGAAATTCCACATCTCGATTATAATCAAGAGAATTGAAATTGCACCACAGTGGGTCAGTGCTGACATCCAGATGTCACTTAGGATTGCTGAATGACCTACCAAGTGCCTGGGTTCAAGTCCTAGCGCTACTTCCAATTATTAACATTCCTGATAATGCATACTGTGGGAAGCAGCAGGTGACAGATCAAGTACTTGGGTCCCCATGCATTTGGAAACCTGGATTAAATTTAAGGCTCCTGCTTTTGGTCTAGTTGGTTCTAAATTGTTTTATATGCATCGTGGGAAAGATTCAGCAGATACACAACTTTCTATGCCTCTACATTTCTGTGACATTCGACTAAATAGAAGTAATAAATTTTTAGAGGTACTGTTTCAAAAAAATGAATCAAAAGTAGATAAGATTTATTGCTTCTCGACCTTTTGGCTAAGATCAAGTGTAAAAGTACATGAGATTTTTCTGTGCATCCATGTTCACAGTAGCATGATTTGTGAAAGACTAAAGCAACTCAAATGTCCCAACAGATGCACAGACAAGCAACATGTGAGGCACACATGCAATGGGCTCACACTCAGCCTAAGAGCAAGGACAGCCAGTACAAGACACAAGACAGATGAACACTGAGCACATCACACTAAGTGAGAGAAGCCACTCACAGAAGAAGACAACTGAATGATCCCACTCACCTGAGTGACACAGAGTAGCCAATTCAGAGACAGGATACATAGTGCTAAGACCAACAGGAAGGAAAAGGACAGACAGTTACTGGCACTACTGGCAGTTTCAACATTGCAAGGTGAAAAAAGTTCTTTGAATGGAATAGTTACACAGACATTTAAATGTATTGAATATTCCAGAACTGTATATTTGCAAATGATTAAAATAGAAAATTATTTGTTACGTATTTTCTCTATAACATCAAAACATAGTTTTTAAACAAAGGTCATATATACCTCGATAATACTCATCCTTGACTGGGTCCTGGAAGCACATTTTAGTCCAACAAAGTAATATTCCTACAGCAAACAGGAGCAAAGCTTCACAGGATCTGGAATAAAGAAAGACAGAAAACAACCTCACTTCTCTTTGGGTGACATTTACTGATGACACTGTGTTGTCAAAACCCTTATCTATGCATAAAACCCTGAACTACACGACATACAGCTGACATCCCTGTATATTCCATCCAATAGCATATTCCTGTATGATTTACAGTCTGCATCTTACATTTCAGGGCCAACACAAGGCTTTCATCTCACAAACATGATCCAAAGGTCCCTGAAGACTCTCAGATCCCTAGCAGCACAAAAGGATGTGGAAGAAAAGGGCTTGGAAGAAGGTATAGGAACCACAGGTCCAGAGCCTCTTGTCCTCAGGCTGGGGGTGAGGTGAATGCAGACTGAGACATTGCTGCCTCTCACCAAGTTCTCCTCAAATCCTGTCTCTTTCTTCCAAATGCAGAGGCAAGAGAGCAAACCATGGAGATGCACGGGTCTTTTGGGACCAGAATCCACAGTAAGTGATGGTGGTAGTGGGGGGTGCAGATCTGCACTCTGGCTCCATTCACCCTACATATAGAACAGGGACGACAGGCTGGCCCAGAGGGAACATATCACATCCAGGGAGGATCATGAAGGCTACCACTATTCCAGATGCCTGTAAGAGGGAAGGGTGAATAGCTCTATGGTCTGTACACTTCCCTTTTGGGAAAATGTCTCAAGTCCTGAGCTGGGATAGGTCAGAAGCAAGGAAAGCCCAGCAAATGCACACATAGGATAAGGACATAATCTGAACAGTCACCTGGAGAGGCTTCTTGAGATACAGACTCGGCCACTAAGTGGCACTTTACCCACCTGTAGGCTTTCACCATCCTACTGAATGATGCTTCTACTTCACACAAAGCATCCAGTGCATCAACATCAGAGATTACTTTTGAAACCAGCAGTCAGTGCTCCCTGGCAGCTGTCATGTAAGTGCCAAGCTCACCCACTACGTACTGGAGAATTGGGAGACTGAGGGGAGCACCTGGTGGGTGGGTGGGTGTAAATGCAAGTTCCACCATCAATATCCTGACAGGTGCTCCTTCAGGCTGCACTCATCCAAGTTTGTAAACTGTCCCTCCTTTCACCAGCTTCCTCACCAAGAGCGGACAACAAGAATGTGCTGACCACAGCAACAAGAGAGTTCAGGAGTACACGACAAACCTGAAGTGCTAGGTGAAAACCAGGGAGCAATGGCACTTGCTTAAGGAACAGTGCGGATACACACTCTGACTCTCTCATTTCCTGAGGGATCCAGATTACTCTTTTTAAAAATTAATTGTTCGGGCCCGGCGCGGTGGCACAAGTGGTTAAGGTCCTCACCTTGCACGCCCGGGATCCCATATGGGCGCCGGTTCTAATCCCGGCAGCCCCGCTTCCCTTCCAGCTCCCTGTGGCCCGGGAAAGCAGTCGAGGACGGCCCAAAGCTTTGGGACCCTGCACCCATGTGGGAGACCCGGAGGAGGCTCCTGGCTTCGGACCGGCATAGTATCGGCCCGTTGCGCTCACTTGGGGAGTGAATCATCGGACGGAAGATCTTCCTCTCTGTCTCTCCTCTCTGTATATCCGCCTTTCCAATGAAAAAATAATAAAAATAAATCTTTAAAAAAATTAATTGTTCTTTATTCTGCTTTAAAGTAACATATCTAATAAATATCTAAAGAACATCATTTACTTGAATTCTAACAGGAAAAGAAAACTGAACTACTAAACTCTGAATGAGTGTTATCTTCAAAAGAAAAGACTTTTTGACAGATGAAGTTGTCTGCTAAGATGAAGGAAGGCCTTGCACTAAAACTGGAGGTGCCAAAAGATAAAAGCTGTGGTTCCTGAATGCATGCATGGACAGGCCCTCCCCCACAAACACCACACTCCTATGCACTGTATACAAGATGTGCACAGTGCACATCCATCAGGGCTCCATCTTGCTACGTGTTTGATGAGGCCTCGGAATGGCTTCCCTCATGGATGAGCTCCACGCCAGCCCTAGTCAGCAAAGCCTACTAGTTGGCCCCCGATTCCCAGCAGGCTTCTCTGGGACACAAATCAGAAAGCAAGAGAGGGTCCCCAAAACATTCCCGACCTGAACTCAGAAAGAGACAACTCTACAGACGGCCTTAAGCGCCCACGCCAGCCAGAGAGCGTAGCTGGGCACTCCCATGTTCCTTTACAGCATAAGATGCATGAAGAGCACAAAGTGGGAAGCCACACCACTTGAGCTTGAACTCCATCTCTCCATGAACATGACAAGTCTGCTGTCACAGTGTGGGCTTTGCTTCCTAACCTCTGCTTCCTCACCTGCAGTTGTAAGACGAGATAGTCTAGTAACATTCAGACAGCACTTAGAACAGCAGTTGGAACACCTGGCTCACACACCTTAATTTTACATATAATTATCAGTAGGTCTGGTCCAAAAATCATAGGCAAGACTCAAAACTCAATACCTCTCTCTAACAGGCTAATGCTTAAGCTGATCATTCTGTACGGCCTGTGAGTGATGCTGGAAATATCCACATGTCCCTTAGCAGAATAAATGTTTCCTTTTTTATTTCACAAAACCCCTGAGTTTGTGAATCACAGCACTTCCTCACCACCACCATGCCCAGGGTGTGGAAATAAGGAGTTGGGGGGTGAGGTTGGGAGCTGTGGGTTCTGCCTGAGAGTTTCAGGGAAGATTCCCTGACCCTAACTGATGGGAGCTGACTAGAGGAACTCTGGAGCTCTTCCCTTCATCAAAAAGGCTCTCTGGCTTCAGGATTAGCAAACCCCAAACCTCCACAGCCCTCACAGCCTTGCTCTGAGGCCCTGCCTTGAGTGCTTTTACTAGTCTGAGCCAGTGTCTGCCAACTCCCCTCATCAGCGTGGACTGCACCCCAAGAAGAGCTGCCAGTAAAGCAGTTAAACTGGTTTGCCCGGAGATCAAGATGGGTGCCGGCGTCCTCCCTGCAGTCCTGGCTTCCCATGCTTCCTTTGTGCCATTTCAACAAGTGTGCAGGACATGAAATTGCTGAGCTGTCCACTTCCTTCAAAATCACAGTTCCTTTTTTTTTTTTAATTAAAAAACATGACTTTGATCTCAATGACCTCAGCACATCCTTACCCAGGGAGCCTCACAAGCCCCGGGGCAAGCCAGCTGTCCAGCAGAAGCTCCTACAGGATGAAGGACTCCATAGCTGCCATCTCCCTCTTCCTCCTCCTCATCATCACCCCCAATGCCCTCGGCAACAAGGCTGAGATCTCTGCACGTGAGTGTGATGCCCTGTCTCCTTCTAGCCTCATCTCCATGGGGAGACAAACAGGAGTGGGGTGGCTGAGGAACAAGAGAGGAGGCTCCAGGGGTAGGTCTGGCTTCTGAAATGAGTTACATCCCCACCCTCCCCAGGAATGGCGTCCCTTCCCCACAAGGCCGTGCAGCAGGGTCGGCTAGCTTCCCAGTTCCATGCATCTCTCTCTCTCTGTCTCTCTCTCTCTTTAAGGTGAGGTGGGGAGAGGAGCAGTGCTTGTAGAATCTCAGGACCTGGCCTCTAGGCCTCCTAAGATGTGGGCCCAGCCTGTGGTCCCTGGAACTACCAGCACCCTGGGAGGGTAACTACCCCAGGACCTTGCCTGGGCAGTCTTCTTCCAAGTGCTTTTGAGAATACACTGCCTCTCCCTTCCACTTCATCCCACTTCCTGTCCAGAGAATCGTGAGAATAGTATCTTAGTCTAAAGTTACTAGAGATCTGATTTGTCTCTCTAGTGCATTGTTGGTCAGCTCAGAGGAGTGAACCAGGAATGTCCAGGGGGTCTCTGGATCCCATCTTTGGATGGTGAGGACAGTGTTGGATAACACAACCATCTTTGCCCTTGCAAGCCAAGGCCACCCTCACAGCCATAACAACACATATCCATACTTTTGTCCAGCTTGGACACATAGGCGGCACATCTATACAAGGCACTTGGCCTGCGATGGCCTCTCCTGCTCCCTCTGCCATCCAAGCACAAGTGACACCACTGTCTCTCTTGTATCCCTGAAAAGGTCACAAAATGTCATAGGAAACAGCTGGAAAATCATCTAACCTGACATCACATCTAAGGCCACAGGTTTTTGTTTTGTTTTGTTTTGTTTTTTTGAGCAAAATCTTCCACAGAAACTGGATACCCAAAACAGGAAAAAGGCGTGAATGAGATGCAGATCCCCAGGGACTAGCTCTTAAAGGAAGTAGGATCTCAGGGCCATCCCCTAATGCCCCCAGGGTCCCAGGGAGCTTGGTATGGAAACCACTGACCTAATCCCAAGGCCCTCATTTGTAGAGGACAGAGAAGGCAAAACAAAAAAGTGAAAAAAAAAAAAAACTGAATCAGTCACAACCTGTGAGGGTAAGGTCACCTTAGAACTTGGATGCCCTGACTTCATGGCCATCGCCTGGGGTGGAGGCTGGTGGAGGCAAGGATCCATCCCTCCTCCTGGCTACTGTGGGTGCCCCAGGGACACAGGCAGGTTAGGGGACTGGGAGTGGCTGGATGTGCATGCCCAAGTACCCATGTCTCTCCTGGAATTCCAAGCAAACAGTACAGGTTGCGTGACTTTGAGCCTGTTGGTAGCCTCCTGAGTAAGTTGTCCCTCCCCGCCCCAGGATGCCACATGCTCACTGAGGGCTGCTCTTATTTTCCATGGGTAATTACCGATTAAGCAAAACTACAGAGCGAGAGAGAAGGGAGGACTCGGTTCCTCTAACACCTCTCTGGGGCAGGTCTCCCATTGTCTCTCCTCTCTGAGGCACTCTAGGGTTACAGAAGCAGCCAGCAATCATGCCTTTCACCAGGGTCCCCGCCTCAGTGTCCCACACGCTTGCTCTACAGGAGGCCCCTATCACCCTGCTGAGTGCTGCTTCTCCTACATCACCCATGCCGTCCCCCATCACCGGATCGTGGATTACTATGAGACCAGCAGTGAATGCTCCAAGCCTGGAGTTGTGTAGGTAGCACCCACACATTGCACTGGAAGAGGAGGGAACATCAGGGCAAGGGCATGCAGGGAGCACTCAGAAGCTGGCCACACAGCTGGGGAGGTGTCACAGGGTGGGAAACAAAGGCAAGAATATGCAGGAAAAATTAGGGAGCCATGGCAAGTCCAGGGATCCTAGGGGTTTGAAAGCACATCTCAGCAAGGCACTTGTGACTAAGCCAGGGAAGACTGCCAGGTGTGGTTTGGGAGGGAGCAAGGACGAACTCTCTTGCCAGATGCTGGCCCTCAATAAGTAATCATTTTCCTTCTCATTTCTCAGCTTCATCACCAAAAAAGGCTACCCCATCTGTGCCAACCCCCGGGATGGCTGGGTACAGGACTACATCAAGGACCTGGAGGAGAAGTGAGTGATCCAGTGTGTGGAGAAGGCACAGCTCAGAGACCCCTCTGTAGCCCATCTCCCCCTCCCTGCTGCAGCCCTATGCCAGGAATTGCTCTGCCTTGAATTAAAGACTATGCATGTCCTTCTTGCCCTTGTGCACCTCATTGAGTTTACTCACTGGCAGTGGACTGAGGATGGCTGTGAGCCCAGCTTAGGTATGGTACCCTGAGCATCAAGCCCTGCTTTGCCAGGTTTTGCCAGAGCCTAGTGTGAAAAACAAGGTTGGCCTGTGATGGAAACCTTGGGAAGCTTAGCCAAAACTGAGAAAACTGAGGAAATTCTATGTAAAGGCCATTTGCTTAGCAACCAGATGACAAATCCCATTTTCTTCAGTGCTGCTGACCTTTCATTCATTCTGCTAAGTAATCCATGGGCCTTATCTTGTTTAAACTGCACAAGTGTAAAAGCTAAGAACCACCACCTGCCTTTACAGATAAATCTTCATAAAAGCTCTGTTGTGCCAGATTTTGAAATCCCCAGATAATCATCAAGTCTGAAGTCAGTGCTAAGGCATAAAGGTGGTTTATTCAGGTTAATCTAGGTATCCCAGCCACCTCCCCCAGCCCAGCATGGCTGGGCAGGGGAGGGGCAGCCGCAGCCGAGGCTGCTGCAGGATCAGCAGGAGCCAGAGAGAGAGCGAGCGAGCCCAAGCCCCCCAGTTCTTATACATTTCAGGATATTAAGTATACAGTCATGATTTAGCAGGCTTCTATTGGTGGGTTTGAAACAAGCAACTTTCAAAAATTACAAATCGATGAGCTATTGGGCTGAGAATCTTATCAAATACCAGGTACCTGCTTCCTGAGGAGTGGTCTGCCTACGTGACCTGCCAGGTGTCACGTAGACTATCAGACTATCAGGCCTGAAGTTCACACAACCCCCAGCCAAGCCATTAAGGCAGAATCACAAAAGGCAGAAAATGCCTACGTTCTTCAGCTCTGCATGGCATTCAAGCTCCACAATCCTCTTGTCTATGCTTTCCCCAACATTTTTCACTGCTAAGGTAGGAATCACTCAGGGAAACATTCGACCCAATCCTTTCTCCTTCACGTACATATACCAGGCTGGACTATAATGTTTTGCACAATAATGTGCCCGCCCCCCCCAGGCCAAGGCCTAGCAGAAAGCCTGGCCCATACCACATGGATGGAAGGATGGAAGGATGGAAGGATGGATAGAAGGGAGAGAGAGAGGAGAGAGAATACAGGAATAAAGAACAGGCATCTGCTCCAAGAATAGGCCCTGGAAACCATCAGCTAGCCTCTGCGAAGAGTTCTGTGTGCTTGAGTAAGGGCATATCCAACGTGGGAACTGTGACCACCCTTTCCTGGCCTTCAGCCTTCCATTGTTGAGGCCACAGCAAGGGTCAAGAGAGACTGTGTGCTAAAGGAATCACCAAAACTCTGCCTGACTTACCTTCAACTAGCAGAGGCCAAGGAGGTGCACACAGCTGTCCCCGCCATAGTCTCACAAAAAGTGATGCCTTAACCAGCACTAGCTGCATTACACATTTATCTGCTTGTGGTGGTGAAGTCACACCAAGCAGCCAGCCCAGAGCACCTGCGTGTTTCCTACTCTTCCCCTACCCCACTCTGCTCTCAACTACTAAAACTTCCTCTATATCAGTAAAGTTCACAGCCCACCAAGTCCAAAGCCTGTGCTCCTCCATCTCTTCCTTGAATGCTGCCTTCAACCTGAACCAGGCCCTATGGGGTAGATCCAGCAGGAGCCTGGGACAGAGGGCAGACGCTGGCACTAAAGACTACAGAGGCAGATGGTGAGACATGCAGAAGGAGCGCTCTCTCCTGGTCAGGGTTGGCCGTTGCAGCAGGTTTAGATAGACCTGTGCTTCGGGGTGTTGAGTCCAGGTCCAAATGCAACACCAGCAAATTATCCAAGCACCTCAGCAAGAAAGAGTATTATTAGCATAACCTGAGAAGAATATGTGAGCTCAAACAGGAGGCCTTGAGCTAGGGAAAGGGGGTCATCCTTCTCAGGGGTTACTGAACCCCACCCTGGCTCAGTCTATGTCCTCTAATCCCACTTTATATTACTCTCCCAAAGACCTGGGTTTGGTTCTTGATTTTGCCACTCGCGGCTGGGTGGCCCAGTAAGTGGTGACGTACGCATGAGAGTCCAGACTGAGTAGGGACAGGCTGGTGAGGTCTGGAGGCCAGGAGTGGCATGGGGGGGGCGGGGGTGAGCATCTATAAAGAACACAAGGCAGCCTCAAAGGACCTATGAATTGGACTTCAGCCCAGCCTGCAGCCATGATGGCTAACTCTGCCCCCACAATTTTGTCACCATAAAGAACCGTGAGGTCTGCACCAACTTTGAAGACAACTTGGTCAAAGAGTACCTCCAGGATCCCGACCTGCCTCTGCTGCCTCCCAGTACCCTGGCGTGGAGTTAAAACCATCTGACCAAAAAGCAACCAGCCCCAGCTCTGGCCCAGCCCCTCCTCCCCTGGGAGGCTCAGCCTTGGGTTTGGAGATGGAAAGGGGTAAACCTGCACCAACACAAGCAGCCTCACAGAGGCAACACAATCACATTGAAACAGGCCAGTGGTCAAAATAAAAGCATTTTAAATATTTTCTATTTTCTTAAAGATGTATTTATTTGAAAGACAGCACAACACAAAGAGGGGGAAAGAGAGGGAGAGAGATTTTTTTCATCAGCTCACTCCCCAAATGGCAGCAATATTCAGGGCTAGCCCAGGCCAAAGCCAGGATCTCCAGCCAGATCTCCCACAGGGGTGTCAAGGGCTCAAGTACTTGAACCGTATTTTTGCTGCCTTCCTAGGGACAGTAGCAGGGAGCTGGCTCGGATCAGGACTCAAACTGGCACTCAGATATAGGATACCAGCTTAACCCACTTCACCACAATGCAGCCCCCATTCTTAACACCCAAATCATCTTTCACACCTCCTCTTTGCTCTGTCTTCATCTTTCAGCACATGCCAGCACAATGGCCATTCTAAGGAACGATCTGCTCTGGCCTAGGAGTCTTACCCAGGTAAGTCCTACGGACATCCTGATTTTTGCTGCCCATCCTCATTCCTCTTCTGGATGTAATTTTCTTCTTCTTTTTTTTTTCCATCTTAGCTGTTTCTTGAAGGCCAGGGTGGGAATACTCACATTATTGCCTCTCCCCTTGGCTGGCAGAGGACTGAGAACTAAGGAAGAGACTCCATTCTCCAGCTATCATGTAAAACATCGCAAGAAAGACACTGAGTCTTTCCCCAGCCAATGCCATTAGTCCAAATCACAAACTTGCCATAAATCAAACCCTTTTATTTGCCAACTTGATTCTTAACTTTGTTTCTTGTGAAGGTGAAGGAAACGTATAATCATTGCAGATGCCTTCCCACACACACACACATATAACCACCTGCCTGCTGCTCTACTCAACAGCTGGAAGCAGACTCAGATGAAATTCAGCATTCTCCCAACATGCTGCGGGGAAGGCAACACAAAAGCCAGGCAATAATGCTAGATAACAAAGTGGAACAAAAACACTTGATGAAGCCATCCTTGCAAAGACTGCACATGAACTGGATTCTAGGAAGTGTCCATAACTTCCCTCAGTGGCTACATGAGACACACAGGAACATGTGATCCCATGGCCCAAGTCCATCTACATAGACAGAAAAAAGTCACCATCTTAACCATTTTTAAGTGCTTAATTTAGTACATGCCCATTGTTGTGCAGCCATCACATCCATACATCCATTCCTCTTCTCTAGAATCATCCCAAACTGAAGCTCTGTAACCACTAAACATTAGCCACCCCCTCAAACTTCAGTAACCAGGATCCTACTTCCATCTCAGTGAATCTGACAACTCCAATACCTCATACAAGTGTCAGTCCTTCTAAGACTGTCTGAATTTTTCAGAACCTGGCTCCTTCCAGGTTCACCCCTGTGGCAGCCTGTGGCTGACCTTCATTCCCTCACAAAACTGAGTCAGAGTCTGTGGCATTTTATCTCCCACATTATGTTGCTCATCCAACCACTGATGGACACTCAGCTTCCGTTAACTTACACAAATGACACTTAACTTGTGCAGTAAGCCAGCAGCTGTCATGTTGGCTAGGCAAGCACTCTGTCCTATGTGCTGGTTGACCTTGACCCACATAGGGGTCCTGGGCTACCTGCTTTCATCCCTCCATGGTCCGTGAGTTCCTCCCGGATCCAGGAATGTCTCTCTGCCCTTCCTACTGTCAACAGCTAATTATCATGGGGCCCTTCTCTCCAAGGGTTCATGGCTGGCTGAGCAATGACAGAATCACTAACACTGTACCAAGCCTGGGCTTTTGCTTGCAGAGGCCAGAGTGGACACGAGGGCTAGAACAACATCCACGTGTACCCCAAGGCAGCAGGCAGTTTCATAGCCCTTAGTCATCACTGGGCTAAAAGTCAGTGAGCCAGCGTTCAAAGTTCTAGCAGACAGGATAGTCAGGGATGGAAAACAGGAAGCATGGGGCCAGGGTTCCAGCAACTTGGGACAGGAACATCATTTTGTCTTTTTTTTTTTTTTCCTGTTCATCAGAGGAGTTCAGGACTTAAACATTAATCTAAAATGTGTTTAACTGGGAATCTACAGATGCAAGGTCAGACCCACACCCAGCTAACACAAAGCTTACTAGAAATACTGAATTGATAAGATGGAAAAGACAAGGGTCTTCCTGCGTATTCAATTGTTTTGTTTTATAATATTTACTTACACATTTATTCATTTATTTGAAAGTCTGAGTTATAGGGTGGAAAAGGGAAGAGAAGGAGACATCTTGAAACACTAACACCACCCCCAAGATGGCTATAGCAGCCAGAGTTGGGCCAACCAAAGTCAGGAGCAGCACCTGTATCTCCTATGTGGATCCAGAGGTCCAAGCACGTAAGCCTGCGCACACACACACACACACACACACTTCCTCATTCTGACCAGTAGATGGAAGATCTCTGTCTCAGCCCACACCAATTACCCTGAAGGGCAGGCCTCATCATATAAACCCACTCCCAAACAGCTGATGAGAGTGTCAACCCTGTGGGACAGGATGGCCAGTACGTGGGAAGGAGTGGAGAGGTTGGGCTGTAACAGGGGTTCACTCTCGGAGAGGGGCAGCTCCAGGTCGGTGAGAGCCACCCACAGCAACATGAGGCAGCCATCAGTACAAAAGGGAAGAACCTCAGGAAGCAGCTCTGGCTGACACAGAAAGCATTTTGTTGGGAGCCACAGGGGCTGGGCACAGGCCCCCTCTACATAGCATCTTGCACACCACAGGGACTGGGGCCAGATAGTCCAAGAGTGACTGCTATATATTCTGCTCCTGCAGGACCCTTCACACTGGGCAGGCTGCACACTACATGCCTATTCATGAAATTCACATCAAGACTAGGTTGGGGTTGTAGGAAGAAGCCAGTGTGACAGGCACAGGCATTACAGTGTAGTAGGCTAAACCACTACACGTGATCCTGGTATCCCACTAGTTAACATTCCAGCAACTCTACTTCCAATCCAGTTCCCAGCTAATGCAAAAGAGAAACAAACATGAGATGGTCCAAATACTTAAGCCTTTGCACATGGGATACCTGGATGAAGTTTCTAGCTCCTGGCTTTGGCCTGATCAAGCCCTAACCATTGTAGCCATTTTGGGAGTGAACTAGCTGATGGAAGATTTCTCTCTAACACTGCCTTTCAAATATATAAATTAAAAACCACAATGTGTTGAACCCCTTCTGGCCGCAAGTCAGAGCATCAGGGTAGGGACGTGTCACCACAGAGATAGCATTTGTTTATTTTATGATACAGTTCCAAAGGTTCTGGGATTTCTCCTTCCCCCTACTAATTTCCCCTATTTTATTAATATAGGATTAACGTAATCCTTCAGAAACAGTCATTAAGTCCATCATTCTGCTATTCAAGTATATTCTGGCATTATAGGAATGGAGAATGGCAGAGTCCAGCATCCTATTGTCAAGACATATTTAACAATTTCATTGGGAGTCCAGCTTTGATTTGGAAGTAGAGTTGCATTGTTGGAGTGTAGTCTAGTACAACCACTATGGAAGTCAGTATGAAGAATGCTAAGAGAACTGAAAATTGATCTGTCATATGACCCAGCTATCCCACTCCTAGGAATATATCCAAGGGAAATGAAGTCTACATAGGAGAAAGGGAACTGTAATCCTATATTTACAGCAACACAATCTACAATAGCAAAGACATGGAAACAACCTACCCATCAAAAGAGAAGTGGATAAAGAAACTAGTACATCTACTTAGTGGATTACCACTTAGCCATTAATAAGAATGAAATTCTACCATTTGCAGCCAAATAATCCCAACTAGACACCATTATGTTCAGTGAAATAAGTCAATACTTATTACAAATATTACATATTTCTCTGATATAAGGCAAACTTCATGCAAAATACAAAATCAATAAATGCATAAGTAAGCATGCATGCACATATAGTCAGCTAGAGGAACTGCACAACAGAGATGGCATTTTAAGCGGGTCCTGGAGGATAAAGTGGCTAAATTATTATGCACAGCATCAATCTTAGAAAAACCTATGAGCAGTGCCACCCAGTGGTGAAAATCCATAATGACTAGTGTCCATAGAATCAAGGACTGACTGGTGTTGAAGATCAGCTTACACCTAGGCCCAGCTGCTAAGGTTGGCCCCTCCCAGCGCCTGCTTTCATCCCTTTTGCAGAGAACCTGGGTTTTCAGTCCACACTGTGGATTCAGCAGCCAAAGCCTTTGCTCCAATACAGTTCTTTATTGGAGAGAGACACTAATCACAAATACACAGGACATGAGTTTCTGTAACAAAGCTGGTAAGAATGGGATAATTGTGTATTTGTTTATTTATTTCAAAGAGAGACACAGAAGCCAGTGATGTGGCATAGCAGGCTTAGCCCTCCACCTACAGCACCAGCATCCCTTATGGGTACCATTTCATGTCCCAACTGCTTCTCTTCCTACCCAGCTCCCTGCTTTTGGCCTGGGAAGACAGCAGAGGATAGGTCAAGTCCTTGGGCCCCTGTAGCTATGTGGGAGACCCAGAGGTAGCTCTTGGCTCCTGACTTTGGATTAGTTCAGCTCCAGCCATTGCAGCCATTCAGAAGTCAACCAGCAGATGCGACCTTTCTTTCTCTATATATGTCTGTCTTTCAAAATTTTTCTTAAATCTTAAAAAATAAAAATAAACAGCTCTTCCATCCACTGGTTGCAATACCAAAGCTGGGTCAGGCCAAAGCCAGGAGCCTAGAATTCAATTCAGATCTCCCACAGACCCAAGTATTTGAGGCATCACCTGCTGTTGCTCAGGGTGCTCAGTAATGGGAAACTGGATGGGAAATAGAGCAGCCATAACTCAAACCAGCACTGGAATATGGGATGCAGGCATTCTAAGAGGTGACTTAATCCACATGCTCTAGAGTCATTTTTAGTAAGAATCTTATTAAAGTTCTTAAACTCATCACCCTAGATTCCATATCCTACCTGGAGAACTAAGTACCAAATAAGTCACTCTGCAAGCAAAAATGATCAACTCTGGACCAGAAACAAAAAAAATTATAAATGCAACTGAGAACTCAAGAGACTGTACAAAAGCAGCAAGACTTTGAAGGTGGACTGAAAATTAGGGATTGAGTCCTATGTTTTATGACTCTGGCCTGGGGTCAATTGCATTTGCTGTGGAGGACAGATACCACAGGGTTGACCAAAACCCTATTACAAAGTCTGTGCTCGTCTGGCCTGGTGAACTCAAGGGAGAGCTGCCTGAGGCAACCCTGACCACTGGGAAGTGACGAGCAACCTCTAAAAAGAGGAAATAGGCAAAGAGAAATCTCAAATTCTTCAAGTAAATTGAGTCCACATTTCTAGTTGAGCCCTGAAATCTACATGCTTGGGGAGAAACAAGATAATGAAAGAACAGGATCTGAGTTGCTGTCCACTGCTGGCAGGAAAGTTAATAGCCAACTAAAACAGAAACAGTAAGACTCC